ATGTGGCCGCCAGCCTATGATCGATCGAAATTACCCTTCTACCATCCTACCCCTACTATAAAAGGAGATACTATTTTCACTTACAGGGTAAGCTTTTTCTCATTACTTTCTAAACTTAAGAACTACTGCAGTTCATTTTACTTCTCCACACAAGTAACTCACTGGCTTGATCATCGGAGAAACAACCGGTGAAGCACACCCTGCTCTCTTACGATTTGTTACTTATGTAGAGAAGAATAGCTTACTCAAGAACCGAACATTCAGAGAGTTAGAGGACATCCGTCAATTTAATCAACTCATTTTATTTAACTGTGTGATTCCATACATCAACAATTTTGAATATTTTATTTAAATCTTATTTTATCCTAATTCAAATTATATCTTATACTAATCTCATGTGAACTACCTATAGCTCAACAATTTTTAAAAAATAATAAGGTCAATAAAATACATGAAATACTATTTTGAATATTTTATTTAAATTCTAATCTACACTAATACTAATCATATCTTATCCTATGTGAACTATTTGTAACTTAATAATTTAAAAATAAGATTAAAAAAATCATATGTAGATAACATATTATAATATATGAAGTATTACCAAAAACACCTAAAAAGTATTAAAAATTGTATAAAATACCTTCAAAGGTTCAAAATTACACAGAACACCCTGACTTCTCAAAACTTGAAACAACAAAAACACCCTTAATATTTTAAAAATGATAGAATCAACCTCAAAAGTTCAAATTACAAAAAAGCATCCCAAAATTCTAAAATTTTAGAACTTGCAAACAACATATATGAATTCAAAGGATTACCAGTAAGCACTTGAAAATTTAAAATTAGCAACAAATAACTCAAAGTTATAAAAAATATAAAAACTCCCTCGAAAGTTAATCATCGCAAAAAAATAAAATTTTAAAACTTATAACCAATACACATCAAATTTAAAAATTATCAGTGGAGGCTGAAAATTTGAATTTTTTAAAAAAATAACACAATTTGCAAAAAGCACCTGCAAAATATCAGAGTTGCAAGAAATATCCTAACATTTAAAAACTTACCATTAGCACATAAAACATGAAAATTACAAGCACCCAACTTAAAACCTAAAATTTTTAATAAACATCATCTAATTTTAAAAATTACAAACCACACCCTCATAAGTTCAAAATCACAAAAAAGGCTGAAAATTTCTAAACTTATTAAAGAAAAGACTAATTGGTTTGATATTTATTAAGATATATTAATTTAACTTTTAATTTAAATTTTATTATTCGTTTTCATCATCTAAAGGTAGTCTAAATTGATGCTGGTAAAACATAACAATAACAATGTATTAAAAATATCCAGTTAAAGAATAAAAATTTAAAAAATATATGATGGATTAAAATCAATGTCAATGTATAAATTAAACGAATTGCATATAATTTTATTAATAATATTAATTGATAGAAGACTAAATTACATAAAACTAATAAAAACTATAATATAATATCTCAGCATTAATTTAATGATGATGTATAAACATTGAATCTAATGTTAATAATATTTATAGGATAAAAAAATACAATGAGTTATATTTAGAGAAACATAAAGTTTAGAGATATCCTTCAAAAAAATGAAGATGTTTTCCTTTTAAATGGAGAAGACAAGAAAATAAACCAAAAATTCAAAAACAATCATGAATCACTTGAATTAACATTGGCAAAAGTCATATCTATCAAAGAAGCACCAATTGAATTCCCCTTGAAGACCATATTAAATAACTTTGTCCTAATCAAATAAGCATTCTCCATGAAAGAAGTAAGTTTTTATAAATTTTCATACCTTATCCTTCAAATACTAAAGCAATCATAAAATTAATATAAAATTATATATATATAAATCTTGCACCAGAAACTAAACTGAAGCTATTGATCAATTATCTTATGATATATAACAAGCCAGATAAGAGAAGACAAATCACTCTAATGGGCAAAATATATATACATGATACTTATTTACAATAATATAAGTTAAAAAAAATTAAAATCGACCTTTTTCCGATACAGTGGCATGACTCAGCATGTAACTTCATTTGGGGATATGACTACCAACAAAGGATCAATTCTTGACAACATGACCAAACATAAGCATATAATAGTACTATCAGATTTCTATCACTTTTTACAAAATAAACATATCAAAATTAAATATTAATATTATAATCTAAGTTAAATTAACAATAAAAATGTAGTTATTTTTTTAGATTTCATGGAAAATGATATGGACAGAGCAAATATAATATTTTTTAAAGCGACAAGAACTCCTATCGAATGCACAACAGAAGAATTCATTACAGATAAAAAAAAGGTAACTCCTAACCTTATTAAGTAATAAGTTAAAAATAAAAAAGTTTCATATGCATAAAATTACCACTTAATCTCATTGAATAGAAAAATAATCAAAGTCCATATATATGTCCAAAATTTTGTGTTAAACATAGGAAATGCATTCAACTTTTTTATGAAGTAAGACAAGAAGATAAAAGACGAATGTGTCTAGGAAAGATAGTAGTGAAAGGAATCTAGCTTCAACCTGATATCACAATCAATGTAGATGATAAAAATACAACTCTAGAAATGCCTAAGAAAGAGATAAAGATGGAGAAGAATTTATCTCGACTCAATAATAAAATAAAACAGAAGGAATAAAAGATATGATTTCTAGATATTTTATAAAATAGTTTAATTTTTCTGAGTAAAACAGGAATATCTAGAAGAGATTTAAATAAAAAAATTTAGTACTTTTATATGCTTTTGTGGATGCTTTACCATACAAAAATGTACTAAAGTTAGCATTAATCTTTAATTTATAATTTTTATAAATTCTATGAATGATTAAAAACAAACTCCATATTCTCTTTAGTTTCGTTCTAGTCCACTTTTATTCAATCATTTTGGCTTATTGGCTTCAATTATTCATATTCCTTTTATAACGCTATTTTAAAGGTGTTTTTAACTTTCACAACATACTTTCTCAAGTCAAGCTTAGTTTCGTATCGGCCTAAATAACATTAAAATGCAAATTAACTTTAGATTAGCCCATTCAAATAAAATTTAAAAAATATATATATAACCACAATGCTAAAGTTTAGTAACATAAGCGAGTAAAAACTATCAAAATAGAACTAAGGAATAAATTTTGGTAAGAAAATAAATTAAATATAATTAATTATGGTATTTGATCGCATGCACTACACGTGCATAAAACCGCCAAGGCATACCTTGGTTGTACCATAAAGAACGTCATCGTCACGGTTCCTGCTCACTTCAACGATTCGCAATGCCAGGCCAGCAAGGATGCTGGTCATATTGCAGGGCTCAACGTCATGAGGATTATCAGCGAGCCAACTGCTGATGCTGTTGCTGCTGTTGCCTACGATCTTGACGAAAAGGTGACTAGTGTTGGTGTTGGTGAGAAGAACGTCCTCACCTTCGACCTTGGTGGCGGTACCTTTTGATGTTTCCCTTCTTACCATTGAGGAGGGTATTTTTGAGGTCAGGGCTACTGCTGGTGACACTCATCTCGGAGGAGAGGACTTTGACGACTGCATGCGCGGTGCACCATTTCATAGCAAGAAGAACATGAGTGGCAACCCTAGAGCTCTTTGAAAATTTCAAACAGCTCGTGAGAGGGTGAAGAGGACTCTTATTTCCTCGACCACCGACACCAAAATCGAGATCGATTCTCTACACGAGGGTTTCGATTTGTACTTAACCATCACACCAAAATTCGAGGAGCTGAGCATGGATCCTGCATAGAAGTGCTTAAGGGATGCCAATA